TTCAACAAACCGAAGTATAAAGATTTACGCTGTAGGAAAGAAACATAGATTCGATATCAACTCGATGCGCACAATGACAGCATCGGATGTGTCTGCAAGTGCAGAATCGACAGTCAAAGCTGGTTTACAACCCCTGCGTTTGGATTCTGAGATCCAAGTCGTTTCCTCTTGATCCACCAACCATCTCACCTCTGCTTCCTTTCACATTCAAATCCAGCAGAAGAAGAGAACTGTCCTCGGCCTCATCTCTACCTTCCTGATAAAGTTGAAACTCTGAATCGTTCCTCTTCTTGATGTTTTCCTCTTACCGCACTTCTCTCAGCTCCGAGTGCTTCTCTTCGCAAACCCGACCGACGTTCTCCGTCAAGCCTGATAGTGGCAGGTCGAAATCCGTAAGCTGGGCTCTGGTGGCTTCCAAACTGCCTGACGAGCCATTCATGTCGAAACAAAGATCTTCTGAGCTTTCTCCCGTATTGCTTACAAGCACTTCCCCAGAGCCTCGATTCTCATTTGCAATTTCTTCTGTACCTGGTCAAGTAATCTCGTGAATGTTACAAGGAGTAGAGCCTTTGTTTGCCACACACCATTAGGCTTACCACGAGTTGCTCCTGCAGTTTCCTCTGCACTTCGATCTGATAGCGCAACGCCTCTCCAAGAAGTATTTCTCTGCATGGCTTGTGAGACATTAGATGACCGATATAAATTAGAGAGCATAAATCAAAGCCTGGAGTTCACGGGATTACTAAATTACAAAAACTACATCAAGTGCACAAACATTCGAATCTATACCGTTTAATAAGAATCACAGACTAACCATTACCGCTAAGATTCTTACGCTTCGCAAAACTTCCCTAGCTTGTTCGAAGCTATTAAATCCTTTGTAGTATCTCGAGTCAAGAAACTCTTCTCCGCGATTTATTTTCTTTAGCACAGTCCTATTTATTTGCAGAACTCATTGACGTTTTGTATGCAGCGTCACATCCCAGATTTATAGAAAGAACAAAAAATCAGTAATTTATTATCCATTATTTATATAATAAACTTTCTTTTTTTGTTGTTTTTTTCTTCATCCTTTAATTCAAATCCTTGTCTTAACAATAGTAAATATTCTATTAATTAAAAAAAGGATCACATCTTTTTGGTAAAGTCATAAGTCTCTTCCACCGAAGCTTCAGATCTAATACAAAGTAGTAAATTACTCTGAAAATAAATATTAGATAAACTGATTTATTATTAAATCCTTTATAGTATCTCGAGTTATTGATGTTTAGTAGTATTTCGAGTCATTGCAGAACTCATTGATGTTTTACATGCAGCATATGATATTTGTTAATGCTTTGCAATTTCTTGTATAAAGTTTAAATTTTATATGCAATGATATGTAAAAGTAGAGTTTGTGCCATACACATACCCGACACCGTCTGTTCTAGAGACGTCACTGTTGGTGGTAGAGGAACAATTAGTCTTGCTTGAATTGCTTCCTGTATGAGGAATAAAAAGCAGGCATGAATGCTCAATTCTAAGGAATGTATGTACTCTCTCAGTTTATGGTGGCCTGTCTTGACCTACCATTTTTCTTTGCTTCCTGGCTTGTCTCCCTTCTGGTTTGCTTTCCGAGTCTGTACTTCTGCAGACAGATAAAGCAAAATCAGAATAGAAACAATAGACCATAGAAGGAGGGACGAAGAGATGTGACCTGAAGATGACTCTTGAGATGGTAAAACATCAACCCATTCGTGCCCATCAAGCTTAGCACCGACTTTGGAGTCGCTTCTCCCAATTGATCACCGAATTATAATTAACGATCATAATTCGATCGTAATTGACTCAGATCTACAATTCAGAAATATGAAGCTTCAGCAAGGTGAGTGGAAGGCACCATGGCCTTCGTGGGAGCCAATCAATCATGTGAGGTTGCAATCAAGGTTTAGAGATGTTGAGCTAACTAACACTACTTCAAGTCAAAAATTAAAAGGATTAGAGAAAAGATGATGGGCTATGGATTTCCTGAGTAATTAATCCTTGTGAAGAGTCATTTCCACACACTGCCAATTTTTTGTACAGAACTTGCAAATAAATTGAAGATATCAAATTTACTCGTCGCCGAAAGTATGTCAAGTTAGGTGCTCATGAATTCGAACGCCATCTTAACCTGCAAGACCTACGCAAACTGGGAAGAAGAGACCATCGATTTGTAGTGACCAAACTTGCAGTTCGAAGGACCACCTACAACAAAAGAGAACAAGATTCTTCGACTCTCCACTCGTCCAGACCATTCCGTAAGTTCAACATACGGTACAAAGATGAGAAGTTCATGAGAAAACTGATTTGAAAATGTGAGAACATTTCCGTCACCCACTGCAAAAGCATGCTTCAGATATAATGAAGAAACAAAGAATAAAGATGTGCAACATTTGCTAACAAAAAACACCTTATAGATCAACACATAAAGTCCCAGAAAACAACACATAAAGTTACCAATAAAATGTTAGAGCTTCAACACTAGAGCTGCCCTTACATGATCGTTGTCTTTCGTATCCGAATCCTATTCTTCATCCTCATCTTGTACATCATTTTTCAAACAGAAGGTGATCAAGGGAAACATTAAGACTTTTAATGTTTTGACGAGTCCTCATCAGCAGCTGCTTCACCTCTTCTCTTTTCCTTAGTGTCCGTGCCTTCTTCATCGACATTAGCTGACTCTTCAGGGATGGAGACTCCATTGTCTTCTATAATATTATCCGTTGAAACCGAGTCACCAACCTCCTTGATCGTAGTAGATTTATCATCTTTGGTCATAGGCTGTTTGCACTCAACGAGAAGGGCACAGACTTCCTCGGTGCTCACAAGGTCAATAGGTGTTTGCTAGGCCTTTGTCGTGGCGGTGAGGCTTGCACCTTTTTTAATGAGATACTCGATGAGCTCTGGATGAGATCCTTGGACGGCATAGTGCAGAGGGGTCAAACCTTTCAAGTTAGCAGGCCTTGACAGAGACATCAGAGGATAATAGGATCCTAATTATCTCTAGATGACCTTTCTGAGCAGCAATATGGATCGCAGCCGTATCACCCATAGCAGCAGCAGCTCCAATGTCGGCGTTATTCTTGTAGAGAAATCTTACTACCTCTGTCTGCCCAAACCAAGCAGCCAGATGAAGACTCAATTTCGTACTATTCGTGTCAAGGTAGCAACATTAGATTACCAAACAAAAGATTTAT